TTTTTTTTTCTACATGCAATGGTTGGAGTATGGATCAGTTGTTTGGCTTTAATAAATAAGACAGTGATTTTACAGCACTGTACCTCTTTTTTCTTCCAAAAATCTTTTGCCTGTGTCAGGGGGTACTTGACTAAAAATATATTTTTAAGGGGGTACATCACTGAAAAAAGTTTGAGAACCACTGTATTAGAGTATTTAAACCCTGTGTTCTGTTGCCCTCCTTTTCTGAGTCTTCATTGGTCACCCAGTAAGTCTTGTGCGCTTCTTTATTCTTTTGCCTCAAGTCGCTTTTTGTTCTTTGGATCCTATATCTGTTTGCCCTTTTGGAATTACTTACCTTTTGGATGTATTTAGTTTTTAGGATCTATCTACCTGTGTTCTGGACTTTTTACCTTTTTCTGGAAACTTCTGAGCGTTTGATTATTTTTGGGAATTAAACTCTTTTCCTCGTTTAAACTTGCCTGCGCTTGAGTCACTATCTATCTGACAGACTGGCAGCACACTGGCAGCACACTGGCAGCACACTGGCAGCACACTGGCAGCAGACTGGCAGCAGACTGGCAGCAGACTGGCAGCAGACTGGCAGCACACTGGCAGCACACTGGCAGCAGACTGGCAGCACACTGGCAGCAGACTGGCAGCAGACTGGCAGCAGGGGGCTGGTCAGGGTTAGTTGCTGGAGCCTCCAGCTGACTGACCTCAGCTCCTGCAGCTTGGAGCTGGGACTCTTCTGAAGGTGGACCAGCTGCTCCACGTCCTGCTTTTTGAGGCTGTTGGAGTTCAGATCCAGCTCCCTCAGAGTGGCCCGGTCGGACCTCTGGGTGGAAGCCAGAGCATCACAGCTGGTCTTTGACAGGCTGCAGTTCACCAGGCTGCAAGAGGAAAACACAGTCACTTTCCTCCGCTGGTGCATTTCCATGTCTGCATCTGGAGGCTTTCATCCAGAAAGAGGCTCTGACATCCAGCTGTTACCCAGAAAGAGGCTCTGACATCCAGCTGTTACCCAGAAAGAGGCTCTAACATCCAGCTGTTATCCAGCTGTTACCCAGAAACAGGCTCTGACATCCAGCGGTTACCCAGAAACAGGCTCTGACATCCAGCTGTTACCCAGAAACAGGCTCTGACATCCAGCGGTTACCCAGAAAGAGGCTCTGACATCCAGCTCCACTCTGAGCTCAGCCTGATGCATCATGCTAGCAGAGGCTTTAGTATTAAGGCTTTAGCATCCAGCTGGAACACAGATTCCACAGCTAGCATCCACTGATGCTACATGCTAACAGGAAGTAAGAGAATTTAGAGCTTTAGGACCAGAGACACTCTGGAAGCGGGTCTATCTATCTATCTATCTATCTATCTATCTATCTATCTATCTATCTATCTATCTATCTATCTATCTATCTATCTATCTATCTGATCCTTGTTTCTGGCCTGAGCTAGTTTGGATCCGGCTGAGACCCAAAGAGGGTCAAAGTGGATCATTGGTCCTGAAAGAGCTTCTAGACGGCCTCAGGCTTCAGTTCAGGAACCGGCCTGCTGGGCAAAGCGGACCTTCAGAACTGCCCTGGAAACAGCACTGTGAGTAAATCCTGCTGTTGGCCCGCCTGAGCCGGCCCAGAAGCCAGAACCCAGAGTGGTCTGGGTTCTGGGTTCTGGGGTTTCCTCTCCAGTGTGTTCTGGTGTCACCAGGCAGACGGGAACTGACCCCAGAGTCTGCAGCCTGCAGCTGGGATCCTCCAGGAAGCTGCACAGCTCTTTCACTCCTGAGTCTTTCAGCTCGTTCCAGCTCAGGTCCAGGTTCTCCAGCCGGGCCGGGCCGGACCTCAGAGCTGAGACCAGCAGAGAACAGCTGACGGCCGTCAGGGAGCAGTTCTCCAGCCTGCAACAGGAAAAACTGTTAGAGCGGCCCGGTTCTCCAGGTCCAGAACAGCATTAGCCCCAAAGTAGCATCAGGTCCATCTGGACCGGCTTTCGTTAGCATCAGGTCCAGATGGACCGGCTCTGGTTAGCATCAGGTCCAGATGGACCGGCTCTGGTTAGCATCAGGTTCCTCTGGACCGGCTATCGTTAGCATCAGGTCCAGATGGACCGGCTCTCGTTAGCATCAGGTCCAGATGGACCGGCTCTCGTTAGCATCAGGTCCCTCTGGACCTGCTCTCGTTAGCATCAGGTGCAGAAACTGACCTCAGAATGAGCAGAGCGCACCGGGGACTCCGCAGGAAGCCGCACAGCTCCATCACTCCTGAGTCCTGCAGCGGGTTCCAGCCCAGGTTCAGATCCAGCAGGTGGGAGGGGTTAGCCTCCAGAGCAGAGACCAGAGGGGAGAAGCTGCTGCCTGACAAGCTGCACCCGTAGAGGCTGAAAACAGAACCAGCTGGAGGGTCAACCACCATCATCCATCCATCATCCATCCATCCATCATCCGTCCATCATCCATCCATCCATCCATCCATCATCCATCCATCCATCATCCATCATCCATCCATCATTCATTCATCATCCATTATCCATCCATCAGCCATCATCCATCCATCATCCATCTATCATCCATTATCCATCCATCCATCCATCATTCATCTATCATCCATCCGCCATCATCCATCCATCATCCATCCATCATCCATCCATCCATCATCCCTCTATCATCCATCCATCATCTATCATCCATCATCCATCCATATTCCATCTTCCATCATCCATCCATCCATCATCCATCCATCATCCATCCAACATCCATCCAGTTCTCTGACCTCAGAGTCTGCAGCTTACAGCGGGGATTCTTCAGAAAACCAGCTAATGGCTTAACAGCTGAGCCACCAAAGCTGGATTTGTTTAGGCTCAGCTTTCTCAGGTGGGAGGGGTTTTCCTCCAGAGCAGAGCCAATCAGCTCAAAGCTGCCCTCTGACAGCTCACAGCTGTCCATTCTGCAACAAACAAACCCAGCAGATGATGGATGACAGCAGGTCAGCGGAGAGAGGCCCGGTCAGCCTCCAGCAGAGCTGGGAGCCACCAGCTCCAGCTGCTAGCATCACAACATACCTCAGAGTCTGCAGCTCACAGGTGGGACTCCGCAGTCCAGCAGACAGGAGGGACGCCCCCGAGTCCCCCAAGTCCCCTGAATCCCACCATACCAGCTCCAGCCTCCTCAGGTGGGAGGGGCTTCTCTTCAGGGCTGAGGCCACGGCCTCATAAACCTGGTCTGGGACCTTACTCTCCTTCAGTCTGCACACAGAGGGAAGCAGGTCAGCCCCATGAGGACCGAGCACCAGAACTGGACTCCACCAGGTCCAGGAGCCGGATCGGGTCCAGCACAGTCCCTCATGACAGCAAACTGACCTCAGGGCCGCCAGCTGGTGGTCTGGACTCTGCAGAGGGAAACACACAAACTGGACTCCAGGACCAGAAAGGTCACAGTCTGTCAACTCCAGCTCCTTCATACAGGGGGGGGCGGATCTCAGAGCCGAGGCAAAGAGTTCACAGTCAGCCTCTGAGAGGCCTTCAAGTCTGAGTCTGCAACCACACAGTACACACATTACACACAGTGCAAACAGTACACACACAGTACACACATTACACACACAGTACACACACAGTACACACAGTACACAGACGTGTTTCTCTCTGCTCCCTCCCCTTCCCTTTTTGCCTGCTTGCTATCTCTGTCCTGTCGTATCTCAGAGCCTCTTTCTGCATTTTCACTTCCTAAAGCCTAACATCAACCATGGATTTGGTTGGCTGGTCTCTCAACGCAATTGACAAAATCTGCTCTACCAAGACAAGCTGCTGGGGCTGCAACTGGTCCAGCTGGGACTCATCCTGCGGGTCACACGATGGATGCCCGGAAGAGCTGGAGGGTTTTATGCCTTTCAGTTCTCTCCGTGGAGGACGTTGAGGACCTATACCTATTTGGATTCATGATAACCGGGTTCCTGCTGATTGGAGTTTGTGGAGTCTCTGAGAAATTCGGAGGCTGATGGCAGCTGGTGGCGGGCTGCCTGTCGAGCCGGTTTACCGGGCCATCAACACTCTGACTCAAACCTTGTGCGAGTTGTCTCGCAAACATGATGCCGAGGTGAGCAAACAGTAGGCTCGTTGGAGCATTCAGGATGCTCAGTGGAGCAGAATGGGGACGATGCCTGACAGCATGAAGGTGATGGGGAACACCTTGGAGAAGGTGGTGGTTCAGATGGATGGAAATTAAGACAATTTGGCTGAATTGGATCGCCATTGAGAGACCTGCTGAGGACTTAAGGCAGACAAAACACGCTCTGTCTGGAACAAAGCTATCTCTCTTATCTCAATCTGGCCTCCCGAGAGCGGCCTTGCAGCTGCTACTCTGCAACTTTGCCCTGGATGAAACTGCAGACCGATGCTTTGCCCACCCCACCCCACCCCCCTCCTCCCAAGCAGGAGTTTGGGCATCACAAGGACAAATTCCATCCTGCCTGTGGATGTGGACTCTAGCTTGCTTACACTTACACAAACACAAGTACAGACTTCATGCATTCCTTGGACTCACTGCCTCGCTGTTACCTTTCCCCTTCCTTCCAACCCCCCATCCCTCCCTATGTGTCCTTGATGTTGTGATTTGATTGTATCTGTGCTTAAGTGTACTGAGGTGTTTTTTTTAAATCACTGTTACGTCCCCTGTAGGGGGCGTGGCACTGGGTCTTTTTTTCTCCGTTCCTGCAACCACTTTCCCAATGTATTTTTTGTTCTGAAGGAAAACGTTGCGCCCTCCTGTGTGGCTGCCCTCAGTCTTCCCGAACTGGTGTGTCTATGTGTTTTTTTTTGTTTGATCTTGGTACGGGCTGTACTGGAAGTCAATTTCTCCCAGGAGATCAATAAAGTATATTCAATTCAAATTCAATTCAATTCAATTACACACACTGTACACACACAGTACACACATTACACACAGTACACGCACTGTACACACACAGTACACACACAGTACACACATTACACACAGTACACACACAGTACACACAGTGCATACACAGTACACGCACTGTACACACACAGTACACACACAGTTAACACATTGTACACACAGTACACACACAGTACACACACTGTACACACACTGTACACACACAGTACACACAGTACACACACAGTACACAGAGTACACACAGTACACACACAGTACACACACAGTACACGGAGTACACACACATTACACAAAGTACACACACAGTACACATACAGTACACACAGTACACACATTGATCATATCTAACAGGTTTAACACATTCGGGGGAATCACATTTCCTCTGAAACAGACCAGACCTCAGAACCTCGAGCTCACAGTTTGGGCTCTGCAGTCCGCGTCTCAGGATCCTGGTCCTGGAATTGGGCTCGGCCCCAGCACTGGGCTGATATGGGGTCCTGTCCTCCAGGTCAAGCTCCCTCAGGTGGGACGGGCTGGACTCCATCGCTGAGGCAATGACTTCATAGTGAGACTCCGACAGATAACGGCCAGAGAATCTACCAAGAAGAAAGAGTCATTAGGGTCCAGAACCAGAACCAGAACCTACAGTCATGGCCAAAAGTATTGAGAATGACACAAATAATATATTTACACATGATCTGCTGCCCTCTGGTTTTCATGTGTGTATGTCAGATGTTGTCATCACATACAGAAATACAATCAATGCTTGAATTTTGTCAGAATTCCTAGGTTTTCGTTTTTCCACCCGTCTCTTGATGATTGACCATTAGTTTTCAATGGGATTAAGATCAGGGGAGTTCCCAGGCCATGGACCCAAAATCTCTATGTTTTGTTCCTTAAGCCAGTTAGATATCACCTTTGCTTTATGGCAAGGTGCTGCATCATGCTGGAAAAGGCATTGTTCATCACCAAACTGCTCTTTGACGGTTGGGAGAAGTTGCTCTCGGAGGACATTCTGGTTCCATTCTTTATTCATGGCTGTGTTTTTAGGTAAAACTGTGAGAGAGCAAACTCCCTTGGCTGAGAGGCAACCCCACACATGAATGGTTTCAGGATGCTTTACAGTTGGCATGAGACAAGACAGGTGGTAGCGCTCACCTCGTCTTCTCCGAACAAGCCATTTTCCAGATGTCCCAAACTATGGGAAAGGGGATTCATCAGAGAAAATTACTTTACCCCAGTCCTCAGCAGTCCGCCCCCTGTACCTTTTGCAGAATATCAGTCTGTCCCTGATGTTTTTCCTGG